CATCTGAATTACATATAATGTATTATCATATAGATATATACAATGCAAACAATAGACTGTTAAATTTATTTTTCCTATTGCAAGAGAAGCCACAAGCCACAGTGAGTGAATACACAATGAACATCTACGTACATAAGCAAATGAAAAATGAACACTTGTATGTACATTGAACACTTGCAGCAGGCTAATAATTTTATTTATTTTTTTCCTTTTTTTTGTTTGCTGATTTTGTTTTAAATCCACATTTTAAAATCTTTTAAAGTTAAAGCAACTCTTGAAGTTCCCATCGGGTCGAACTGCTGAACCCTCAACACTTTGCTTGCTCCACACAAAAATAAAATGAAATAAAATAAAAACACCTTTTCCCCAGGATGTTAAAATTGCAAAAGTTATAAAGTGTGTCCAGTAATATAGCAGACAACCTGCTTCTTCCCAAGGTGAGTGTGAAGCCTCATAAATTTACAGGTGAAATCAAAATGAAGCCCTTGCCTCTGGGCCTTTGGGTCACATTGAAACTAGCTTTTAGTATTTGTCCTCCAGGTTTCCAGGTTGGCTCTTTTTTTCCCCTCTCCGGCTGCAAAAGTCACTCTTGAAATTCCCTGGAACGCTTCTCTGAAGTTTCAAAGTTTTGGATCCAGTTGCTCATTTTCCAAGGCAGGAATCCAATTCTTCAAAAATCATGCCTCCAGAAATGCACAGATATTTATACTTTCTACTTTTATAATCATATTCTCTTTGAAACACTTCCATAATCCATAATATTTATATCATTACAGATTTTGAACAACATTTTTAATTTCAAAACAAAAAAGAAACTCTGGCTGTACACTGATCATACTCTTATTTGCAATACTACATTTGTACTTTGTACAATGATAAAAGAAATAGAAAATGTGATAGAAAATGTACAATATAATGTATGTATTCCAGTACCACACAAAGCTGTGTCTAAGTAAGGCTTTGGGAGCCTGTTGCTATTGAAAGACTGTTTAAAGAGGAAGGAGTGATGACAGAAAAATAGACAATCAAACTGTGTGCATCTTCCCTGATGTGTGCCATGATATTTTGTCCAATCTGATGTCTTCATGCTGAGGATGCCATTTAGAAAAAATAAAACACCGCACAGCAAGCTGCATGCACACACACACACACACACACACACACACACACACACACACACACACACACACACACACACACACACAAATGACAGCACTGATGTCAGTATAATGACAGACACACAGGGTTTGCACAGGAAAGCACAATTTCCCATATGACAAATGTGAATACACGCACACACACAGCCAACACACTCGTATAGGATGGAAAAATCAACCGAAATAGCCCGCTGTGCCTCGGGGATAGTACTGAAATATGTCACTGCTGTGACTGTGTACTGTACGTTTTTTGATAGATTATTTCAAAAGGCATTGAGATGATGATTTTAGATTGTTCGGTCCAAACTTTCATTGCCTCTGCAATCAGACCGTGGCTGTTAAGATGGAAATTATAGTAATGGGAGCTCAGAGCTGAGAAACACAATATCTTTGACAAAAAATAAAAAAAAAAGTTAATTTAGGAAGGCTGAATAACATGCTCTTTAGTGTGCATCACGCTGCAGCACCGTCTGCAACTTTCAGCACAGACGCGCTAAGGATACAACAGGGATTTTAGGATAAAAGAGCAATTTGTTTATGTCACTCTGGATAAGGCACTTGAAATTGCTCTGTACAATCTGGCGATATATTTTTTTCCCGATAAAATTCTCACAGCACAAGCTGCTGCGTTTTCACTTCTGCATGGATGCACAAGATCGTTGAGATTATTCTCAGCAACAGCCCCAAGAGAGAAGCCAGAGAAACCTTAAATTTGAAGTTGTCTCTGATAAACGTTACATGTCATATGTACTCCGTAAAAGGAGTTTAGCCCTTTGACATAAGCCGTATGAAAAGGAGCCCAACTAGCTCTGACGGCACACGATGATCTGTTGAATACAATAGAGACAATGTTTATTCTAGTCATATTAGATGGATGAACATCAGAATATATGACCTGTACATGAGCATGTATGCATTAGAATGGACTTATGGACATATTAAGGTCATAATAATCACAAAGCAAGAAATGGTGGATTCTGTTTGCACAACATGAGAATGAGATGCAATAAAAGCGAAGGAGGGCTGGTAAACAGCGCCATATCACACTGTGTGTTTACACCAGGCGGCAAGTTTCATCTGGGACAGTCAAATTCCTGCAGGAAAACCCTTGGCTGACCTGCCCAGAACGGCTGTGACTTCTCCAAACATGGTCCACATGCAGTGTGATCCTCTAGCTGTGGATTTTGTCACTGACAAACCCCCCCCGCCCCAAACATCCTCCCCACTTCCTCCCCTTCTCTCAACCCCCCTCCCAGGAACCATGACTACAAAGGCAAGCTTATCTGTTTTATATGTACAAAGTGTACACCTTAGGGGCTATCAGACTCCTTTCTGCCTCACATGCATGACAGCCGTTCTCTTTCACTGTCACCCAACAACGCTCTCTTGTTCTATCACAAGCCCACGTTCTCTCACATCATCCACTTCCCCCATTTCACTTTCCAAAACAAAAGACAACGCCTGATACAAGAACGTTGTTTTGTTCTCGTTTGCTCAACAACTTGGCAACAGGAGCGGGGGGGAGTGAAAGGGTTTATGAGAACTTTGCTCCTGATGTTTAGAGTGCTTGGCGTGGAGATAACCACAGTAAGCACTTTCAGATGCATCTCAACCCTTTTCCCGCTCCAGGAGGTGGTAAACTGACATCACCTTCCATCAAACACCCAAGCAGCTGCTCAAACTGGGACCCCTGGACCTCCACTTGAGCTGTGAGCCACTTACTCTCCTGCTGGTATCACTCAAACGACAGCTTAGCAAAGATTAATCAGATATTCTAGAAGGCTCTTTACCCACCACTGAGATGTGTGACAGATGTCAGACAGACATGGCTCGACTTATCACTGTGACGGATGGTTGGATGTTGAACTTGGATGGATGCCTCAGTTGAAACTGCTTGGATAGATCGACACTGACCATCTATGTATGTGCAGCAGTGAGGGAAAGTGCATTTACTGAAATACTATACTGTAGTAAAAATTTTAAGGGCCTTGGACATAAAGTTTTTTTTTTTTTCTGTTACTTTATACTTCTACACTGCACATTTGAGAGGGGAATAATGTACTTTTTACTCAGTCTGACAGCTGTAGTTACTTCTTAGATAGTTCCTGGATTTTCCATATAACACATGATCAGGTATTAAAATGATGCACTTATCTATGCAATATTAAATGCTGCTTTCGTATAGAATTATGCATTGGTAATAAAAGTACAATGATAAGATTGTATATTCTCCATAAAGAGTGTATTGATTTTTGATATTTTGATAATACTTATGTACCTCAATGTACTGTCTTTAAATGTCTTGTTATGTCCAACCAACAGTCAGAAACTGAAATATATTCATTTTACATTACATTAAACAGAGAAAAGGAACAGAAATTCCTATTTGAGTAGCTGGAATCAATACATTTGAAATAAAAGTGGGTTTTTTTTTTAATAACTAATAAGAAAATTGTTGCTGACCAACTGATTATTTAACAAATTGTTTTAGGTCTACACTTTTGTAAGGCTGTGGGACTCACAAGAGACTTACATTAAGTAAGACTTACACTTGCTTATTGTCACACTACAAAAATCCTACATAATGCAACTAAATAGTGCCATTCGAAAGTATGATCAAATCAAGTTAACTGATCAAACGTCCACACAGATATAATCAGACATACTAGCTGAGTTCTTGACTGTTAAACAGGTTTATTTCATAAAGAAAGATTTGAAATCAGATTTTCAGGTCAAGCTTTGTTGGACTTGACAAAGGTCCTTCAGAGTTACAGACCATGTGAATAGTAAATTTAAATAGTCAAATCAGTAGTAAAAAGTTCAAATTTCTTGTAATAGAGTAATTTTAAATTGTGATACTGCAACTTTTATTTGAGTAAGGGAGAGATGCATCCAGAGCTTCTGGTATTTTAACATTTAAGATTGCGCTGTAGGTTGCCAGAAAAATGGAAAAGTTAAACCAACTAAAATTTAAATGCAAGTGCAAGAATGTTTATCCTGCACTGGCTCTGCACATATAGCAGCTTTACAGTGTGATAGCAGGAAGGGAGGCTTGAATGAGTGAAAGAGAAAGCGAAAAAGATAATTAACGATAGAGCAAGCTAATGAATGTACATGTGATATTTACATTACATTCATGACCTCATATATGAGGTAGAGACTATAACAGGATCAGGGCTGAGTGGAGCACTAAGTGGGGCATGGGCGCGTAGCATGCAAGCACAAGCTGAGCGTGTAATGGGCAATCTTTAATCTCAAATGTAGGTGTTCCACATCGTCCCATAATCTGATCAGCCTCATGGTGAGTTTTCGTTATAGGATCTGTCCCAGATCTTTCTTTAAAGGAGACAGCCTTGAGGAGCTATTCGGTGCAGGCGTAATTCTGTGCAAAGCCCCCCTACCAGCCACTGTGGCAGCCTCCTGATGGCAGATTCTCATGCATATTCATCACTCCTACTGGTGAGCATACATTAATGTAACTGAAAATTGTCTAATAGGTTGAAATGATGGATGACATGCATGAATACACAGAACATGTCTTACAGTAAATTGATATTTTCTCATTTCTTTTATAATTAAAATGAGCGCAACTATTTATTACTTTTAATTTAAGAATAGAACGATTACATAGAATTAATTAACTCGCTTGTTAATTTTCAAAATGAAAAAGGAGATGGGTTACAAAAACAATGTACAATAAAGACGTGGAAATAGCCCTTATTTAAATCACAATTTCGCAACTTGTGATCAGAAATAAACTCCACTCTTGGAGCAAACACACACCTCACACAAGAGCACCCCCCAACGCACACACACACACACACACACACACACACACACACACACACACACACACACACACACACACACACACACACACACACACACACACACACACACACGCAGACACACACCCAACCAGGCCTTCACAATCATCATCAGTACAATGTGGTACAGTACATGCTGTGACATCAATCCACTAATCAACAGGATTAAATGACGTCTCTCACTCATCCACACACAGCAAAAGAAACAAAAAACCCCACAACACATTGCCTTCCCACAGACAGTAATAAGCACAGCTCTGAGCTCCACCTGATTCACTCACAGAGTAGGAAGGTTCCTACAGTAGCAGTGAACTTCACAGCAGACATAAAAATCTTAATAACCACAATAAAATATACATCGGACATCCTGTCAGCAGATGTGTAAAAACTGACATGATGTGATATAAACGGTGGGCGGATCAAAGAGTGCAACTGAACAATCTCATGCCACAAATTTTTCTTGTTTTGTTTTGTAAAAATTAAATAGTGAAACGACAAGTTGTGGTTTTACTGGGGTTATGTGAGGGACTATTTCTTGGCCGGGTGCAGTGGCTTCCTCAAAGTGACGACAAGACTTCAGGAAACTTCCCCGCAGAAAAAAAATTGTCCTTCACATAAACCTTGTCAAACCACAACTTGACATTTTCGTACTTTGGTTTTTGTATGCATGAAACAAATTGGATATATCAGTGGTGTTCTGCCTGTTCATGCTCTTTAAGCTAATTGTATTCTGGCTTCAGCTTTATATCTACAGACACGAGTGATCTCAATTTTCTCACACTTTATTTTTATTTGTGTTTTAGTTACATATCAGAGTCGGGGTTCTAGCAGGATCACAGATTCATCTAATTGGTCCAAATCTGTAGTTGTCTCCATCTGTTAGATACTTATTTTTCTATTTCATGCTACAACAGGGGTTAACATCCTGTAAAGACTTGGTTCATGGAAATTATAAAAAATAATCTTGTTGGAGAGTAGTTCTAATGAAAAACTTGTTAGTTACTGTGTAACCAGGAATATATGCTGCTGTTGAATATTTTAAATGTCATTTTCCAGTGCTATAAGCATATGCTAAATTGTGTTTAACTCATTATTGTTGGGTGAAGGCCAAAATTTGGATACATTTATTTTAATACCTGGCCAAATATAAGCAACCTAACCAGCTGCATGGTGAAACACCACCTGTAGAGGTAAGTAAGAATGTTTTTGTAATTTGGCTGAACCGACCCTTTAAGTTTGAAGTTATTTCCAGCCACCAGCTGGCAAGTTGACAAGTGCAGCGTTAATATATTTATCTATCTATTATGTATTAATGGCAACTCATTCCCACAGGGGCTCATTGGTAGATAGGATAGCTTCCAGCCCTGATGTGACCATGTTTATGGCAATCTACACAGGCTGCCCCACTTTATTCTACATGTTGCTGGTTGGAAGTGCCATGATGAGGATCACAGACAGATAGAAAGAAGGCAGGCAGAGGGGTACGCATGGGTGTGCACACATACTCCGAGCCAGCACACACCCACGTGCACTCACACAAATATTGAGTATACACTGATATGTACAGTTATCTACAGGAATCTTCACTGAACTTCAAACTTCTGAGGTTTGTAAATTCAGTCAGCCCTATTTTCCCATTTTGAAGTTTTCTTGTGTTTTCGTACAGCGCAGATCTTCCTCCGCTCTTGATCTTGTTTCATTTTTTATCAGCTCAGTGTCACTCCCAAGTGCTCCCTGCCTTACACACCCTTATTTTTTTGAGCTTACATCTCTGAATAAAACTGAATTTTTCACAACCTTCCTCATCTGTGCTGCTTCTGCACAACACAACTCAACGCAACTGGCATCAGTTGAATTTGTGTAAAGTGCTACAACCGGTTATTGAGAGAGAAATTTAACAAACACATGATCAAATGAAATGAAGTAATTTCAAATGTACTCTTGCACTCTTTATCATTCTCACTAATCTTTCATACGCGCACACACACACACACACACACACACACACACACACACACACACATACACACACACAATGGATGGCACACACAGGCAACTCAAACTTCAGCTTTTTCTTCTAAGTGGCCCATATTTATCTGGCTGACCTACTATTTTTATACTGGCAGAGGAGAAGATGTTTGAATGTCTTTTTAAATGTGACATTGCACAGAGCGTAGCAGGCGGGGTTGATGGTACTGTTGATGTAGCACAGCCAGTAGCCAATAGTCCACACTGTGTTGGGGATGCAGCTGGAGCAGAAGGTGTTAATAAGCACCATCACATTATAAGGAGTCCAGGTGGCTACAAAAGCTACCAGGATGGCCATTATTGTGCGAGTAACTTTTTTCTCCCGTGATGGCGCCGCTTTCTTCTTCTTAATGGGTGGTTGCTTTGTCATCTTCACAATCTTCCGTGCAACGTGATTCTGCCGCTCTGTGGCTGGGACGATCTCAACGGTGGCGTTGGACGGTGTGTAGCAGTCACCCTTGGGTGATTTAGTCTTGATCTTGATGCAGGTTAGCTTGGAGCCTCCTGCCTTGGCTCGCTGACGAGGGAGTGGCTGGCTTGTCTCCACGCTGGAGTTAATGGCAGTGGGTGCAGTCTCCTCGTCCTTCTGATTGGACGCAGCCACACTGCCTGATGTTGAATCATTGGAGCTCTCCTTCTCTTCTCCAGGAGTGCAGTTCTCCTTTGCAACGTCGTCACCTTCGGTTTCTCCCTCAGCAGTGGTTGAGGAAGGTCCTTTCCCATTTTGCAGTTTTCCATCATGCTGGTTAGCTCCATCCTCAGCATTCTGGCTCTGGGAACATCCTGTCTCTTCCCCTGGTACGTTGTTATTGTTGGGTTTTGGTGTGTTGTTCCTCGTCTGGGCAGGCGACAAGGGCTCTGGATTGGCTCTTGATGGTTTGCGGTTATCCTTCTTCACACGGCTCTTGCTCGCTCTGGAGATCTGCCAGTAGAGCTGAATCATGATGATGACAGGCAGGTAAAAGGCGGCGATGGCAGTGCCAAACGTGACTGCGGCATTAGAGAAGAACTGGATGTAGCATTCCTTCTCAGGCACTGTCCGCCCACCAACAATGAACTGCCAGAAGAGAATGGCTGGTGCCCAGAGGATGAAAGAGAGGACCCAGGCTGCGGCAATCATCATTCCTGCCATCTTGGTGGTCCTTTTGACAGGGTAGCTGAGAGGCTTGGTGACACAGAAATATCTGTCAAAGCTTATGATGAGAAGATTCATGACAGATGCATTGCTGACAACATAGTCCAAGGCTAACCACAGGTCACACACCACCGGCCCCAGGGGCCAGTACCCGATTACTATGTAGACTGTGTACAAGTTCATAGAACACAGTCCAATAATTAGGTCAGCACATGCAAGGCTGAATAAAAAATAGTTGTTGACAGTCTGCAAGTTCCGATTAACTTTGATGGAAAGCATGACCAGGATATTTCCAATAACTGTAACCAAACTGAGGGAACCGGCCACCAACACGATGAACACCACCTCCACAGTCTTGTAGGCGCTTTCGCTCTTTTTCACAGCTTCTGTGTCATTGCCTTCAGAGGCATTCCAGTAGGTCAAATTGAAAACATCCATGGCATTTGGTCTTTTGTTGCCACCTCCTACTCAGATGGAACCTACAAAAGAGAACAAGAGAGAAGAGAAGATTTGTAAAGAGGTGCAAAAGATGACTGTGTCAGCTTCAGCTTTTTAGTCATTTGAAGACTTTTGAATGGCGTATATATAGGTTCATGGGCAAAGCACAGTTATATTGTACTCTTAAGTTTTACTCATACTTCACCTCTTTCTTAGCTCAGAAAGAACTCTCAAACTGCCCTCTTCAACTGAGCATAGAAGTCAAGTATTAAGGCAAATACATTTAAGAGAAAGAATCCCACAAAATTCAACTAATCTAAAAACTACGACGGAGTATTGGGGCCAGAGTAAGAGAAAAAAATATTTAATTTTTTGGGGGAAATTACGAGAATAAAGTCATAATATTAGGTCTACGAGAATAAAGTCGTAATATTATGAGAATAAAGTTGTAATAATACAAGAAAAAAGCTCTGATAGAGTTACCAAGATCTGACGTGACCAGCTCAACTAAACAGCAGTCTCAACCTGAGTCCAGCAGCCGCTGTTTGTCTCAGTCGTACTGTCAGCAGGTAAGCTAACGTATTGATAATTTTGCCGTTAAACAGTTTTGCTGGCTGAGCCAAAAGGCTGACTCATAAAATTACTACTTTATTTTCGTAATATTACGACTGTTTTCTCATAATATTATTACTTTTTTCTCTGAATATTACGACTTTATTCTTGTAATGTTATGACTTTATTCTCGTAGACCTAATATTACGACTTTATTCTCGTAATATTACGACTTTATTCTCGTTATGTTACGACTTTATTCTCGTTATGTTACGACTTTTTTCTCGTAATGTTACGACTTTTTTCTCGTAATGTTACGACTTTTTTCTCGTAATGTTACGACTTTATTCTCGTAGACCTAATATTATGACTTTATTCTCGTAATATTACGACTTTATTCTCGTAATGTTACGACTTTTTTCTCGTAATGTTACGACTTTATTCTTGTAGACCTAATATTATGACTTTATTCTCGTAATATTATGACTTTATTCTCGTAATTTCCCAAAACAAAACTCCGTCGTAAAAAACCACGAACCGTGAAAAAGAAATTATATAAATCAAAATACTAAATTACTGTGGAAAATTGGCAGCACTGTAACATTAAACATGCATTTATTTATTAATTTCAGTCACATTCAGTATAAATATATTCAATATGCTGGAAAAGATGCAATGCCATCTTTTAACGTGTAATGGACTGAGGGGAGAGTAATGATGATCCACTGTTAGATTATAAAATATAAATATACATGTCTCTATAATCCATCCGTATGAGTGACCTTTTCTGTGTTACAGCTTTTAGCTTGTCTAAAAGCCATTCATCAAAACAGTGACAGTTTTGGCTGAACACCAATTAAATAGGTAATTAGAAGCACAGATATCTGGCACAGATATTTTTCATAATCAGTGCGTAAATAACATCTCCCAATTAGACACCTGCTTCATTATTGAGAAAAGAGGGGGAAAAAAGGCACTAAAAGGGACTGCACAATTTAAATGCACATGAATGGCTGATGAAAAATGAGATGTGTGGAAATGAGGCAACAAGTCAAATGAGGATATCACAATGATGACAAGCCTGAGCATGGTGGCGCAAGGTTTAGTATCAAGCACAATTAATTTCAGCCTAACCAGTGGAAGAAAGAGGTTGTTTACTCACTGGACAACTGAGTTTAATAAATGTATGAAAGTGTTTCCACTACCTCTGAATTGAATCTGACAGTTATTTTCACCATGTGGAAATCCTGGTGATTGTCTTTTCAAAGCATCTGTCAACTTCATATTTATTTTTTCACAGAGAGTTTTCAAAGCTGTTTTTTCTAGGCTTTTCTCTGCCTACCCACTTTGATGGATACATTTCTGACCACACAATTTTGACTATGAATTACTAATGGCTTGACTTAATGTTTATTTGTTCTGTCTTCTGAATTTCTTCCCCAAACCCTATATTTGCAATACGTCAATATAATAGTTATTTAAACAATGTTAGCACGTACATCCTTAAAAAGGAGAGGGACGTGTAATTATACACCACACACACAGTATATATTATCAAGAGTTCAATAAAAACTTTAAAAGGAATTATTGACCAAATTGGCACTGACATTTTATCTTCAAAGGTCCATTTTCAGCTTGCACTGAAAAATTCTCTTCATACAGCACTATAAAATTCTTTTGATCTGCAAGTGACCCACTAGTTCTCGCTTTTAACCTTAAACACTTGCCTGTTGTAGACCTCGCTTTGATTTATACACTGCTCAGTTCAGTGTTTCACAGGCCTTTGATATTAGGAGTAATGTGGTTTGTCTGCTCTGTGTCTAGAGCGGGGTCACAACACTTGGAGCTCTTTCGTGTGCTGCGGGTCAGATTTCATGGCACAATTGGTAGTTATCACTTCTCAGTTTGACATAAATATCATCAGGCTGGAGAAGTTCCAAGCTGCTTTTTTTGTGTGGAAAAGAACTAATCAAACTTTATCCAGCCTGCGGTATTCAGCCTGTAAATCAAATACTTTTTGAAAGTACCAATCTGTTGTTACTTAAAAGAACGATCAATATGCTGTCCAATAAGTTTCTTGACATTAAAGCGGATACAAATCGAAGGCAATCTGACTAAAACCCACTACAAAAACCACATACATTTATCATCGTTCAGACAGCATCTGGAATCAATCATCTGTTTAATCACAGAAGATAGAATCAAATATTCTCTTCAGTTCAGAGAGATTAATGCTAAATTTGAACGACATACTGCAAATAAATCGTACTTATTTGCATGCAACATGCACCTGTGAAGATATTTTTCTTTTCTTTTTTTAACTTAGATCTCTATCAACATGCTATGTATAAACCACTCACTTGATTCGCACATAATGGTGACAATAGCTTTGTCATTGACCATCTGATGAAGTAAAACAATGTGAAACTGACTGAAGTGTTTTGGGTGACGCACTACAGCAGCTGTCTTGTCCAAGATTTTGCCATTTCAGCTTATGGTCTTTAACAGTTGAGCACAGTTGCTGAGTAACTAGTGAACATTCACTTATCTGTTGTGCCAGAAATCCCTAATCATTGCATTAGGCATGGAGCTAAGCTGGACTAATCCCCATAAAATGTTTAAGTCCACCGATTTATATTCAAAAACACCAACAATACAAATGGGACACACTTGTGGCTCGCTCGAGACAAGTGGATTAGAGAAATAAAGTGGATCAGTATAGATGGTCATAGCACAGTGGAGACAGTTAACTCCCCTAGCTGCTCTTTGTCCACCTCCAGCTGCCATAAGCCTCGTCCCACACCTGAAATCTCTGCCACAACACAGCAAAAGCTGTGCCCCAGCTAGAGTCAACTAAAGACGCACAAATCCGTTTCAGCTCCATGTTGACAGCCATGGTTTTCTGAAAAGGTCTCAGGGGAGCCTAGACTTTGTTTTAAAGCTTACGTCCACATATTGTGAGTCATGTTAGCATCAACCTATTGCGAAAAGACACTTCTGCTCCAAGGAAAGCCTGTGTTGTGCTTTATTTTACCCATCAGGCTGCTGTTTTACAGTTTTACCACTTTTTTTTCAATTGCAATAAAGTTGTCTTGAAGAGAAGAAAGACATCTTTGCTTCAGTGTTGACTGGTAGAAATGCTGGCATCCCAGCCCGCTGAGCATGAGTGCAGTTGCCATCACCTGGGGAGAGCAGCAGTGGCACTCTTAGCATAGCCATCAATCATAGAGCTTACCTGCATGTCTCAGTACTACTGCAGTCAGCGCCAGTGCATCTGACGGAGCAATCAGGACATGACTGACACATCCATCATTATCCTAAGAGAGATGAATATTCAGATTTTCGTTTATCTCATCACACTTCTTAATGAATTATCACTCTTGCTATACTTGAAGTAAAATATAAGAAAGGCTTGGCGTCATGGTTTATCTTTGCCATCCTTATACTTTTGCTCTGAGTAAATGTGTGTCAATGGATTCCACAATCCTAAATTTTCACTTTTTGTTTAGTGTATTAGAAAAAAAGTGATTCAAGTCAGCTACTGCCATGGGAGGACATGAATAAATGAGCTTGAGTATTGTTCTGTGTTCAGACTTAGGTATTCTGGAGCTTGCTCACTAGAGCTGAAAATTGCTTATGCCCTCTGGGAAGCAGAAAGGGCCAACCTCACCCGTTTTCCACAACTGTCTTTTGTAGTGGACTCCAGGATGGTTAAATCATAACTGCGTAAATCCAAATAACTGTGATGACTTAAGAAACAATCATTGCATTGACAATATCTGCTTTGCCTCATATTTGAAGCTAAATAACTACTTACGCAGGTCACTGGTTTTGTCAGGGACAGACAACAGGTGTGGGCTTTCTGTTGATGTAGCTTCAAGCATAAAAAACATTTTTTTCCAAATGTGGCAGCTGCGGAGCTGCTCTTGAACCGATGCATTCGGCTGCCTCCCTAGTGTCCAGATTCCCATTCCCCATCTCTGAGCACTGATCCAAGGTAAAGCCCAGGGCACTTGCCCCCTGCTTTCAATGATTACATGCATTTTCATTGCTGGCCCTCTCCATGGGAGCATACAGGGTTAGGCCTTCGTTTACTTGCTGTTTGCAGAGAAGCATGACTGGAATGCAAAAGCTATCATTGCTGCAGTACAGCTTCCCCACAGGGGGTGCAGATCCATTCAGCACTCCTCCCAATGGTATTACAGTTAATGGATATAAACAAGTTTTTAAAAAGAAAAAAGAAAGAGACACTACTTCACTTGCTCATCCAAAGCTCAAGGCTTACCTATTGTAGACAACAAAGCATGCAGTCAGTTTTCTGGCAAATGTTAAGAGGTGTAATATGACGATGTGGAAGGTTTGAAATGGTTTATATTAATGACGTATGGTAAACACAAAGTGGAAGTCTTTCTTTTCACCAAGACAATCTCCTAAATCGTTTTGGACTCTACTGTGAGGTTAAGTTCCAGCTAAGGTAAATATTGGTTTG